TAAAATACGGTCAAACAACTTCTATAAAACGATAATAGACTGCGACCACACAGAAGGCCACACCATATTGGTCATCATATCTTCGATTAAACTTATTTTATTTTATATTTATAAAACATATTTTTACTGAGATCTTGTGCAAGAGCGCCAAGGATTTATTATAATATCCCGAGAACTGTTACGATCTCTGAGAAACTATCAAAAGTGTCCTGGAACTCAAATATCATTCTTCCTTACGATGAGCCCGATCAATGATTTCCTACATCACAGTTTAACTCAAATTAAAAAGACCCCAGAATGTGAAAAATTAAATAACACGATGGTAAATTAATTGGAGTATAAGGTCGGTACCAAGGTATTTATGAGCCCCTTTTTTTCTTGTTTCCATGATATTGTGGAGGACCACATGATTGAGGAGAGGATTTACTACAAATTACGTTATACTAAGCCTTTCTGTAAAAATAACCGATTCACCAGAATGAGGCACTATCATCCAGATGCTTTTTTAGTTGCCACTACCCCTATTTTGTGTCTGAATCTGAAACATACGCACTTCATTTATTTGGTTTAGCAACTTTATCAAGTTTAGCATTTAAGACCTTCCTCCGTAACTTAATATACATATGTGAGTAGGGTTCCGAGACTACCAGTAAATCAGTGTAATGAGATGTATTAATATATATACATTTAGAAATTTTTCTGAGTGCTTAGTTGCCTAAATATTTTGTTTCAGATAAAGGCCTATTACTAGGACCCGTTCCATTTTTATTCTCATTCATTTTCCGCCTACGATGCCTGTATATATGGATTGCACCTTTTTAGAAGTAGAATTAGCAAGTTTCGTCAATGCTTTATATTCAAAGTACATTTTGGTAACATAGCAATAGGGTATATTGAACAATACTACTGCCTCACACAAGCGTCAGTTTTAAGGTGGTTCATTCATTTTTTAGGTTTCAGCCATTTTATAAGTTCTCATTAGACTTCAGCATTTAAGTGTAGATATGAAGACCATGATGTTGCATCGGGCTTGCTCAGTCAGGCTGGAGTATACGTGCAATCAAAGGCTTGAGGTAGAATGTAGATCATAACGCCTCGACTAGCAAGGATGTGCTGGCAGTGATCGAGTGAAATCACTGAACCATGGAGATGAGGGACGGATCCAATGGGGCAAGAGGGCGACTCTGATATAACCTGGAGTAAGAGTATTACAGGTTACTGGGGTAGACTCGGATCAACATTCCTAGCACAGTGGGGGGGGGAATAAGGAGACTAGCCGGATGTATGAATTGGTTTCATTAAGTCCTCTTAAAAGAGCATATCACAACTAGTTTTAAGCAAGCAAGCACTTATCCTATATATAAGTGGACACACTAAGGCGGTGGCATAACCTGCCCACACCTATCAAATTTAGACAAATTTATTTCATATTCTTTTTTTCACTCATCTGGTCGATCACTTGTTTCTTTATTAAGATTATGATACCATTATATGTAATTAGGCGTTATTTGGGATTTCTCCCTTGCTTATTTGTATTTCTATACCAACATCTGTTTGCAACCCCAAATCATACACCTAATGGACTTTTGTAACTGATGCGCCATTAATCCAGGCTCTTCCAAGACATCAACAAGAAGTGAGTTCGGCTCCAGGCTTGCGAGATACTCCGCACTTAGAGACTGGATCCAATAGCAAGCGAGTTGGCCCCGCACCTCATGCTCACTCCCGCACATCCTCACAAGTTGAATCAGCAGAAAGCGCCGGGAATATTGGCAGCGAAACTCGTGGAAATCGTTTTTTTGGGGCTAGGCGGGAAGGAGAAGTACGAGCGACCAGTGCCCAAGAGGAAGGTGGCTTCAGCAGCACATCATCTGAGGACGATAGATAGCTGGACAGGTTTATCATCTAGTAGTCCGACTGTCTGAATGGCGCCGATTGGCTGAGGCTAATTAACCACTTAGTTGATAATAATTTATTGGCAAGAGCAATTATCACGAATAGCGGGGCAATTCTCCGTCCTCAGGTCTAATTTAGTCACTCTTGTTTACTCATTGCTTTGGTTTTTATCCGATTGCTCTAGTGACTACCATGCTATTTTCGCACACTGTACCTAAACCACCGCTTGGGGATCACTATCTAAAAGGCGACTTCTATGACTAGTTATTTCTCGACATCCCAATTCTTCCGTCTCATGGCTTAACATTATTTGCAGATCACCGCTATCTAGATCCGCCCTTTTATAATTGACTCATCGTTTTCTTACCTTAAAGTGCCTTAACTTTCTTGTTCAATACCATAGCCAACGAAATTATCTACTGATCATAAATATTCTCGGCAAAATGTTTTTTACATGTGCTTTCTCAATCAAATCTGCTCAACTCTCAGGATTTTTTGTATAAACTCTTGCTCCTTTAGGTACTCATTTTACACTATGCGCTCGAGACATCTTACAATGATGTTTAGTCCTTATATCTGCTTTGAGGCCCTCTCCCATTCACTAAATCTTGGCTGTGAACTGGCTCAATACATTCCTGCACTTTCTTATATAAATGAATTAATTGTCAAAACCAATCTAAGTTTGCTTATGCCTTTTGCTACTTACTAAAATTATCATTTTGTGAAAGTTTTTTTTATTTCACCCTGTCTTGGCTTATTTTTTTGCCTTGCGATTTTATGAATATACCGAAATAATTTTACTTAGCCCTCTCAGTCCTCACACAAGACTTACCGCTGTTATTCTTTAAAGTAATTATTCCACTTGACTATTGTAACGACCCTGTTCATCGATTCATAGCCCTCTGTTTTTCCTGTGTTAGAATATCTCTTTCTTTGGTTAAGTTGTATTAACGAGCTTAACACACACGTACGACTCAGCTTCGCCAGAACATAGATTGTATTCTCGACCAACTTTTAGATAAACTTTCTTGTGCTTTTTACTAAATTTAAGCTCGCTCTTAAACGAACAAATGTATTTTTCAACCCAACTTTTCTTCGTATATTTTTCAATCACCATGGTCTCCGTTTAAAGCTATCAGACAGGAAACGACACCCATCTGAAGCAAAGTTGTAAGGAGTTCCCTGCAGCTAGTCATGGAGTCATTGTTATTTACCTTCGAGTATTTTTTTTGAACTTGACAAGATAGTTATAAAATGGCCTCTAAATGGGCTATGCTCAATGAGGTTGGATATTTATAAACCAGTATTAGTTAGTCACCACGCACAAAGCGGATCTTGGATAATGAGTCGATGCCAGTAAATAGATAGTCTGTCCACCCAGATACTCCGCAATGAAACGTCGCCGAGAAAATATCGATGTCGAATTTTTTCCCTGAAAACGATTTCTCAGATCAGAGGTAGAATTTGAATAAGCTAACCACCACTTACCACTTATCCGTGCTGAAATGGGACTTATAAAATAAATCCGCAAAATATTGCTAGTCTTAATTACTATGGAAAAAGAGGTCGAGCGTTGCTCTAATGGATGAGTAATATGCTCCAATAAAGGACAATCGAATGACGCCTGGACTTGGCTCGTAGTCATAGGAATAATCATCGACATCCAGAACGGTCATATATTGAAAAAAAAGAAAGTAGTCGACTCATTCAGCCCTTCTTATACAATTCTCAAAGCGAATCGTGCAGGTTAGGTTCCTGATTCCCAGTGACCTATGGCAAAATAGACCTCTGGTTACATCGAACACGCTGTCAACCACAAGATCTACTGGTCGATAAAGGCTGCCGCTTGAAGAAAACCTTGATTCCAACAAGAGCGTTGATGAGACAAGATTTATAAACTGCTGTCCACTTTTGATGAGGACGTACTTTTGAGGCACCAGGAGTGGCTAGCCTCTGAAAAAATCAAATGTTTTCTACCTTCATGAGTATCTCGATTACTGGGTAATCAGGGCAATCTCGTATGTAATAATTAATATTGAGTTTTAACAATATATTCGACCAATTCTAGTAACCCCTGATGAATATAGCGCTTCTGGATAAGCAAGTTGGAAGAATCCGAAATGATATACGTAAGCGTATGTATGCGCACACGAACATATCTAGTTACACGGCCAAAAGCCCCTGCTAGTTGATCCGCATTTGAAGTAGGCTGCCACTCTTTAATTTTAAATGTTGCAACTGCGCATCTCAAATTTTCATAAATGGGGTAATCTCATGATATAATCCAGTATGGCCCATCCTGCACTCAACTCGACATCGATAGGATCGATTATTTACTAGTAGATATGAAGACTAACATGCTGTTGACTCTGTTTTGATCGCATTCTCCTTTTGGTTGTATAGAAGTGGTCTGATTTCATTTACGCAACTCAGTCGCGTTGTCAAATGGACCTAGTTGGACGCACCCCGTCCGAAATCCTCTGCCATAGTAGTTATTAGAGAATGTCCTGTAGTTTATGAACGAGATTGATGAAAGAATCAAATTCACAATGGATGTAGAGGAAGAGGGTTGTTTGGCCTTGCTAGGCGTGGAGGACATTCGCTCTACTGGGACACTCAAGAGTAAATTATTCCGAAATAAACCATGTCGGAATAATACTCAATTCCCAATCCCATCAAAATGCAGACTGAAGGTCAAAATATTGAGAGGCATTATCATTAGAAGCCTACGATCAAGGTACGTGGAATTCACGGATTTAGAATTGAACAAATTGACTCGGATGTAGAATGGCTCATAAAGGTGGATATGTTTACCTTCCCGTTAACTAACTCAGAAATGACAGCCAATATCAAGAAAATTAGGTATTCATGTGGCCGCATGTTTACCAACGTAACATGAGGGTAGAAAAATTGAATTTCTCGGGAGTTTACTGTATGGCATTCAGGGTTTGCAGAGGGAGATAAATCAGTATACGAATCAAGGAACATCAAAGGCTCTGTAAGAAAATGGATGGCGGAACACGTCGCGCAGACTGGACACAAGATCAAATGGAAGGCAACAGAGAAATCTCACGGTGAAAATATGATGAAACGGAAGGTTAGGGAAGCCATTTATATCCTCGTGGAAATAAATTTAATGAGCAGATGGGAAGAGGACAGAGTTAGCGATAACTTTAACTATTACTGGAACTCTGGGAAAACAAGGATAGGGTAAGACGAGTAAAAAGCAGGTGCTTGTATGGGAGGCATATTGTTTAGCAGAAGAAAAGGGATTGCAATTAAAAGGCGATCGAGTAACATTCGGAGATAGAAGACGCTTTCAGCGAACATAGCCTGCTCGAAGAAGCAACTAAAACCTTGGGGGCCTG